TGAGCACACATTTGTACAGAAGAAATAGTATTTTTGTAGTTTTAGTAATTTATATTTATTATCTTAGCAGTACAAGAGTCATATAAATTATTTCTTAATATATATATATATATATATATCTCAGTATATAGTACTGATATAATAAAAACAAAAATAACACAAAGTCAGAGGTTAGGGCATAGTGTATATATATATATACACACACTAGTACTAGTGTGAGCGCGGCTAAGCCGCACAAATTTTTGTTATGGTAGAATTTTTTTGTAATTTTTTTTATATAAATATGTTGTATGAGTTCATTAGCGGTGCATATTTTACATTTTTAATTTCTTGAAAGAAAAAAAAATATAAATATATTATAAGAAAAAAAAAATTGACCGATTTAGTTTTACAAAAGAGGAAGAGAATGAAAAAAAAATAATATAAATATATTTTAGGAAGAAAAGTAAAAAAAAAATATTGATCGAGTTAGTCGGAGAAGGAGAATGAGAGAAAAAATAATAAAATATATTTTATGGACAAAAGGAGAAAACAGAAAATATATTCAACCAAATTAGTCTTAGAATTAGTCTTAGGAAAGAGGTAAAAAATGAGAGAAGAGAAAAATAAGGTTTTTTCTGTATTATTCAAAATATTATTCTATCCAAAATGATATACATTGATGTATTTTAAATGTGTATTATTCAAAATATTATTCCATCCAAAATGATATACATTGATGTATTTTAAATTTCTAAATAAATTTTAAAAATATGAATATATAAATTTAAATAAATAAATCCTTATGAGAGAGAATAGAGAAAAAAGAAAAACAAATGTCTTACTGAATTGGTTGGATGAAATGAGGAGAATCGTCCAGTCAGTTTGGCCGAAAAGAGAAAAGAAAGTGTCTGGTCGGATGAAAAGGAAAAGAACGGTCCAATCGATTGGAATAGAAAGAGAAAAGAAAGAAATATAATAAATTATATATATCTATATTTTTTTTATAATTATGCAACCAATCAATTTAAAAAAATTTATTTTTCTTTTTTCAAAATATTCTTTTATATTGTACTTTTGTTTAGTTAATTTTTTTCTATATTATTAAAAAATGATTATATACAAAATGATATATATATTGATATATTTGAAATTTCTAATTAAATTTTAAAAATTACATTATATGAATATGAATATATAAATTTAAATAAATAAACCATTGCGAGATAGAGAATGAGAGAAAATAAAAAAAAATAAAAATAAAGTATCTGATCAAATTGGTCGGATGGAAGAAGGAGAACCGTACAGTCGGTTCGGATGAAAAGAAGAAAGTGACTGAATTGGTCGGATGAGAAGGAGGTGAACCATCCAGTTGGTTGGTGATGTTTTCATAAATACTTTTCTTTGCTGCTCATAAACTATTTGTGCAGCATATTTGGCAACATTTTCTTGCTTTGGCTTGAGTACAATAGCAGGAACGTTCTTTTACCACTCCATCAACATCAATTTCCTACTTTGACTTCCAGATATCCCCAATTTCCTTACAGATATCCCCAATTTCCTTAGGTTTCACCTTCCAGCTTTGGCTTCCAGATATCCCCAATTTCCTTAGGTTTCACCTCAGCTTTGTAATCTGTCTCAAATGGCGGAGACACGGCCTTAATCGGCTGAACAACCATTCGTCCAGACGATTCATTGGTCGCCCAACAAAGCGACCACCATACGGTCTCTTCAAACGGCTGAACAACCATTCGTCCAGACGATTCATTGGTCGCCCAACAAAGTAACCACCATACGGTCTCTTCAAACGGCCGAACAACCATTCGTCCAGACGATTCATTTGGTCGCCCATTCAAGCGACCACCATACGGTCCCTTCAAACGGCCGAACAACCATTCGTCCAAACGATTCATTTGGTCGCCCAATCAAGCGACCAACTGACCGCCCTTTCAAGCGACTGAACTACTGTTTGACCAAGTGACCGGCAAATCAATCAGGCGACTAACAGGTGGTGGCTTAGTTAAGCGACTAATTAACAGACCTTTCTTCGCCCGTCTTCCTTTTGCCAGACCCATATGCCACCCGACCTGAGTGCATATTGTCTTCCCTTCTTCGTCCGACTTCTGTGTCCGACCTCTACGTCTGCCATCTCATCTTTCTTCATCCGACCTTTATCCTGACAGACCTCCGCGTCTGCCATCTCATATTTCTTCGTCCGACCTTCGTCTTGACAGACCTCTGCGTCTGTCATCTCATCTTTCTTCGCCCGACCTTCGTCTTGACCGACCTCCGCCTCTGCCGATACTTCTTCTTTGTCCGACCTTGTCCTGTCCGACCTCCGTACCCGACTTTATAATGTCCGACCTCCGCGCCCGACCTTATCACGTCCGATCTTCGTGCCCGACCTTATCTTGTTCGACCTCCGTGCCCGACCTTATCATGTCTGACCTCAGAGCCCGACCTTATCATGTCCGACCTCCGTGCCGACCTTATCATGTCCGACCTCCGTGCCCGACCTTATCACGTCCGATCTCCGTGCCCGACCTTATCTTGTCCGACCTCCGTGTCTGCCGAATCATTCTTCTTTGCCCGACCTTATCCTGTCCGACCCCCGTGTCTGCCGATACTTCATCTTCGCTTGACTTTTGGGTCGTTTGGCTTATATTCAGACTCATCCATAATCCTACTGTCATATTATCATTATTATTATATTTTGTGCTCAACACAACTAATTTTAAAAAATATTTTTTTTTCTTTGGATAATTTTTTTTCTATTTATTAAAAAATTATTTTCTACAAAATGATATATATATTGAGAACCGTCCGGTAGGTAGTCGCTTGGGATAGAAAGAGGAGAGAAAGAAATATAATAAATTATATAAATATATATTTTTTATATTTGTGCAACCAACTAATTTAAAAATATATATATTTTTCTTTGGATAATTTTTTTCTATATTATTAAAAAAATAATTGTCTACAAAATGATATATATATATTGATATATATTTAAAATATTTAATTAAATTTGTAAAATTTCATTATATAAATATGAATATATAAATTTAAATAAATAAAGAATATAAATATAGATATTTTGAAATAAAAATGAAGTGGTTGAGGGAATTGGTCGGTTAACACTTGAGACTGACCGAATTTCGGATGTCTTATATTTCTGTAAAATCAACCGTCCAGTCGGACAATAATTTTTTTTGTTTTGTGTGCCCAACAAATTTAGAAACCCCTGCATTATTTCAAATGCATTTTTTCATATATCATAGCATTAGAATATTGTAACTAAGTTATTGTATTAGAAAAAACGTTACGATCTACAAAATGATATCAATATCAATATATTTTGTACAAATAAATTACTACAAAATAGCAAATGGAATTGGAAAAACACAACACTCAGTAACACCCAATATCTTCGGTATAACCGACAACATGGGGTTTATTGAGAAATTTAGTCATATTTGCCCACAATATTACCGGTACGTACAACTGAGGTAAAGATACATTGTTTCAATATTAAGAATAATTTAGTAAAAACAGATAATCATCCGTTCAGCTTCTCATATATATGTGTTTGTTGATATATAAATATACGTGTTTGTTGATATATATATATATATTGCACTTGTTACTGATAATTTCCAAGATTAAAATAATTTTATGTCATTGCATACATAGTGTATCAAATATATATATTTAGTATTCGATGAGAAAGCTACGGATGATTTTATTGCAGGCTGAAGATACGACAGAAGGAGAATATTATTGTGTTCGTAATAGGTTTATTCCATTCCATCGGTATTATTAAATTAGGAGATTCTTTATGTAGTGATAAAAAACTATTCTGGTGTTGATATCACTTTCAATATTAATATTGGCAACTGAACCACATAAAACATAAAATAATAACATAAGATTTTTATTAATATAATAATATAGAAACAATATATAAACTAACAGCAGACGTGCCGACCTCTATTTTTTATGTGATGATCGGTGCAAACCATATTGTTAAATATATAATTAAAGCTTAGATCACATCACCACGCGTTATATATATAAACAGCACATGTTGTGTATAACAAAATAATATGTTATTTTTTAATAATAACAAGGGTGTGTGTTGTATACAAGTATGTCATGTGCTAAAATTAGAGTTGGCAAAAACTGACCAGACACGACAACCCGACACGACCCGACACAAAATAATTGGATTTTGGTCAAAGATTTCAACCCAATTATGTATACGGGTTCACACAAACCCGACACGATAATAAACGGGTCGGGTTAGAATTGAGGCTCTCAACTCGAACCCGACACGACAATCCGATTATAATATATTAATATTGATTAATATATTTACTATATATGTAAAATGATTATATTTTAATAATTTTCTCATAAATTAATTTTAAACTAAATTCGATTTTAAATAATTCAATCTAATTTACGCTCAAACCAATAAAAACTAACATAACAGACAAAACAACAAAAAATTATTTAATTTGAATCAAGAAATTCGACTTAATTATGTAGACGGGTCAACACGAGTCAACCCAAACCCGACACGATAATAAACGGATCAACACGAACCTGACACGATAATAAACGGATCGGGTTAGAGTTGAGTAATTTAACCCGTTTAAAGTATTCAAGCTGACACAAATTCAACACAAATCGACCCATTGTCAGCTCTAGCTAAAATGAACTGTCGTATGTGTTGTTTGAGATTATAGCATGTATTAGTTGTGTGTTGTTGAGACTATAGTATATGTGTTTTGTTCTTGTGCTGTATTTTTATTATATTAACATATACAGTGGACTGTTTATAGTAATATTATGTGTTGTGTAATAGCACACGACACTGTAGCTGCGATCATGTATACTTGATGTGTTGTTTTTGTAATTACCAGTTGAAAATACTAGAAAAATACTTGACAACCGATCGGTCAATAGAACTTTTTATCTTCTTTTGTGCTTCATTAAACTTCTAAGATTTCCAATTTCCGCAACAAGCTAACCCCTCCCATAAAATAAATAAGGCCTATGAATTTTTCTTGTTAAATCGATTTAATACACAAAGGGTTTTTCAATTACTCATTCCTAAAATACAAGGAAGCATGAAAATGGAGAGCAAGATAATTTCCAGTGAATACATAGAGCCATCTTCTCCGACGCCGGCACGCCTCAGGACCTACAACCTCTCGATGCTCGACCAGATCATGGATCCAGTTTCCATCCCCATTGTCCTCTTCTTCCCTCCTTGTTCGGACAATACTTCCAATGACTTACATGTTTCCAAGACATCGCAACAGCTGAAACGCTCGCTTTCCATCATTCTTACCCGCTTCTACCCTTTCGCCGGAAGAGCTGTCCCCGACAAGCAATACATCGACTGCAACGACGCCGGGGTTCATTTCATTGTCGCCCTATTTCCAGGTCACCGGTTGTCTGATCTTCTTAAAAAACCAGACAAGGATCTGTCCGATCAGCTCTTACCTAGAAAAGTCACCTGGGATTCTGAAATGGATCCTGAATGTAAGATTCTGCAAATCAAAGTCAGTTATTTCGACTGCGGTAGCATCTCTATCGGCGCCATCTTTTGGCACAAGGTAGGTGATGCCGTAACAATGGTGAATTTCTTGAAGGCCTGGGGAAGTGCGAATCGGGGAAGCAAAGAAGGAGTTTGTCCTAATTATATCTCCCAAAGTCTATTTCCACAGAAGGAGGAATTGCTCGACACGAGGCGATCAATTTTGAATGAGGGGAAATGGAGAACTAAGCGCTACATTTTCGAGTCATCGAAGATTATGTCTCTACAGGGCAAATCAGGCCTGGAAAACCCTACCAGGGTGGAGGCTGTCTCAGCATTTCTCTGGAACTGTTTCATGGCAGCATCCTTAAAAAATGGAAAATCAGATTCGGTCCTCTCGGTCCTTATGGACTTGAGAAGGAGAGCCAATCCGCCATTTCCATCGGATTGTTTTGGGAACTTTGTATTCTTTTCTGTGGCGGTCAGCAAGAACCAAAGCGTCGGAGAATTTCAGGGCCTGGCGAGGAAAATGAGGAGCTCCATTAAAAGAGTGGATGATGAACATATTACGAGGATGCAAGGAGATGGAGGGCTTGTCGGGTACTACGAGAATTTGCAGTCGGCATTTTTGGAATTCCCTGAGGGAGCTGATCTGCTGTTCATCTCGAGCTGGTGCGGGTTCGGAGTTTACGAGGTTGATTTTGGATGGGGGAAGCCTGTTTGGATGACGACATATTTTCATGAAGGGAGTGATTCGGAGACGTCGAGGTACATGAATTTGGTTGGGTTAATGGAGACGAGAAGTGGGCGTGGAATAGAGGTTTTGGTGAGTGTTGGTGAGAAATACGTTGAGGTCTTCGACGCCATTGAAGAAGAGCTTCGGGACGTCGCCTGCGTCGAGCCAAGTCCACTACTGGAAATTGGGCTGACTATGAATTGATTAAATGAATAATAACATTGATAGTATTTTAATATTCGCAATAATCATTATATTGATCAAGGTGTTACTAAAGGAATCAAGAGTGCCTTTGGCTATCGATTTAGTTTTTGAGTTAGGAGTCAAGTGAAAAATAATTTATTTAATTTATAATATAATATATATAAGTTTTGAAAAAATCAAGATATTATTTAATTATTTTAATAAAATATAAATATAAATATTATTTTTAAAAAAAAAAATATTTACATAACATAGATAAAAAAAAAATACCATTACACACGATGCAATTACTTTTTACATAAAGTCAAATCGCAAAAATATCAAAACCTCTTACACACTTCCACTAACTAATGAAATACTATTATTTCTTAATCTATTACAAAAACCCCAAAGGCCCCTTTAATTACAATTAATATTAAATATTTTAAAAATAAATCAGAAGTTTTGAATGTATATAATTAGCCTTGATTAGCTTAGTGATTAAGACTAATCAACATCATGTTTAGGTTGATCTAAGTGTTGATAACTCGTAATGCCACAAAACGACCTTGACAACCCCTGGAGAACGGGAGCTAGTGTTGATAACTCCTAATGCCACAAAACGACCTTGACAATCCCTGGAGAACGGGTGCTAGACCGACAATCGAAAGATGAGGAATCCGTCCTTCAATAGGACTCAACAGCAGAGACGGTGGTGTCAACTCCGAACAGCAAAGTGGCTACCCCCAGGAAGGTCGACAACAAATTGTTACTAGTGGAGTCACACAAAAGGTGGAGGAGTTGCCCCCGGAGGAGAACGCGGCGATTATGGAGGCTGAAATAGGTTGTCCCGGAGGACATGAATGAGTTGGGCCAGTAGGTACCTCCGAAGATACCAGTAGCAACTATTTCGGAGGATAAGCCAATCACGGTAGCAATGGAGGATAGATGATAAGACATCGATTGAGAGTCTGGATATCATTGCAAATGATCGGGACTTAGAACGGGCGCTACGCTACGAAAGGGATTTTCGAGTAAATATTGTCGGCTTCTTGCCCAAGGAGTTCTTAAAGACTTGGACTGCAATTTCACTATGAAAGCATTTGAAATCTATACGGAGGCCAACGCATGGCCTGTTTGCCATTTGTTCGTAATGAATAAGGATTGGGAAGTGTTACGGAACCTGGAGAGACAGATTCGCGAGACATGCAGCACTATTGGGGACCTGAATCTGTCCCGATGCATATTCTCAAGAGACAGACCGATTCCTCACATTTTCCGCCTCCCCCAAGGGATCAGAATGAAGAAGAGCTTTCATCTCCCATCTGAAAGGCTATTCCACCGTTTGAGATTCAGGATCCTTTAGAAGAAATCGACTTTGGCGACGATTCGGCCCCCGGGTGATGTGGATCAATTCAGTGTTACCTCCGGAACAGAATAGCGATTGACAACATTGATCCGGGAATACCAAGATTCTTTTGCGTAGGATTACCACGGGATACCAGACCTTATGTAGGAGTTTGGTTGAACATCGCATATCCACAAAACCGTTGTTCAAGCCCAATAAGTACCCCCCACAATGATTCAACCTGAAGTTGATATCAAAAGTCAAAAATAAAGAAAAGCAGTTGCACGATGAAGAAGGAACCAATTTCAGGCATAGTGAGCCGTCACAATTAAAGTGTCTTGTGAAGCTCGAACAGTACCTCCAATTTCATTCAAAAATACTAAGCTTCAAAATTCGATGTTTCACACCAATTATTGTCCAAATATTTTTGTGGAGGCATTTGCTATCCACCAATATTAAAATAGAACCCCCAAGAAGCTACTCTGGACCAATTTCGTACGTCCAAAAGAAATGTCCACCCAAGTTCCCGTCAAAATTTATCCATCAGAATTATGAAGAAATGGACAAGCAATGTGGATAAACTATAAAGAAAATTAAGAAGTTAAGATAGATATCATTTTGGATATAATCGTGGATGAAGTTGAAAATTGTCTTAATTGATAGGATATATATACATAAGAAAATAATCACCAAAGAGGAAGAGATACACAATCATCCGTCCAACACCCTAACTTTTTCTTTTTTTTTCTTTAATGTTTTCCTCTACTATTTTCCTTTCTAGTTTGGTCTATTTTCACAATTATTATTCCTAGATTCAGTCTGCAAATTCTAGTTAAACTAAATACAAGTTTTAGATAGAAAAACCCAATTTACGTCAATGCGCCAGCCAGGCATAAATTTATTGGACCATCATCGACAAATGTCAGCTATAACAATTCTATAATTCATTTTTTTTTTTTTTCCTAACTCGTACTCAATCGTACTTCAATTGTGGAATTATGATTGAGATACTTATACCAAATTAAACCAACACTTAAAACAATTCTTGTACAAACTAGAATGAACTTCCAAGCTGCATATGAATTCCAGCAAACCTTCAAATTCATAAATCACTGCGAGACTGAAGCTGAAATTGAGTTCAAAACTGCACCATCACCATTTCAATCTCAGCCAACCTACAGTTTCAAAAGAAAATTAACATAAGCTCTTGTAAAGGAAACAGTGAAACTGTAACATTACGGCGCACGCCAAGCCAAGGTATAAAAATTGTCCGATTTCAAAATGTAGTACAGAAGCAAACGGCCAAGAATAGTAGTAGCAGTACGTAGTACCATTTCCAGATCTCTTCTAGCTAAGGGCTGTGAAAGAGCCGTCAGGTTCGGGTCATCCTTATATTTGGCCCAAGTGGCGTCGAACTGAGACTGCTTGGACCTGTCAAAGACAGGAAAGCTAATATCACTGTGCATCTCAAAGATGTCACCGTTCACAGGGGCACCAGATAAATATTTTATTGCATAAAAATGACGAAAAAATATCAAAATGAGTTAACTTACACACGGATCGTGTTTAACAAAGGAAGAATAAGCGATCTAATATCTTCACAAGCAATTTTCAAAGCTGAATCCTTGTACAGAACAACAAGCTCATCCACCAATCTGAGAATAAACATATACGAACAAGAGTGGCGAATTATAGTCGTCAGACATTTTTAGCTCTACGGATGCACTTGACTAGTAATTCTCTCCGATGTCATGATTGTATGCTCGTTAAGCTTTACTAAATTCAATTTAGCATAAAAAAATTTAAATTTTAGGGTAAAGTCATGTTATATACGATATATCTCATCCTAGAAACAGAACATATGCCATGAGTATTAATAGTATAACCTATCATAGTAACCTTTCAATAAATGGAGAATTCCTAATCCACGTGAGCCTTGCAACAGTAGTCATCCGTTTGAGAACCTAAAACAATACCAATAGAGGGAAACTTACTTTGGAATAATGTGATAAAACAATACTAAATATAAGCAAGGTGCATATATTAACAAATAAAATAGAAGTGTATCGCAAAACACCAAAATGTAAAAATAATGATGCAGAAAATTGTAATCGGATTCTTTCACTGTTGTTAATCTTGTTAACCGAATCAAGCCGTTCATGAACTTGACTCAGTTCAATTTAGTTCGGCTCAGTTTAAGCTCGTTTGCAAATGTAAACGAGTCGAATCGAACAATATAAAGAGGTTTGTTTTGTTAACGAACAAGCTCAAGCCTTATTCGGGAATAGTTGTTAAAATAATATATTTGTATTATAAATATAAATTACAAAATAAATAGAATAAAATAAAATATTATATATACAAATTAAAAAATAAAATAAAATATCATACATATCCAAACGAACTCAATCGAGCCGAACACTAACATGAGCTCGAACAATAAAATTGTTGAATGAACCAAGCTCGAATACTACAAAATAGTTCGAACCTTAACAACAAATGTTAACGAACAAATGCAAACGCTTAAAATTTCATTAAGTTCAACTCGTTAACAGCTCTATGTAAATCTTTGCACCATCAATACCAAATAGAAAATAAGATGCAAATGAAAATCAAAATTCTTAAGCAATGAAGCGTAGTCATACCAGCAAAACTGTCTGATCATCATCAGCATGGATCCACTTGAAGAAAAGTGGGAACAGACGCCTAAAATGAGCTAGCAGTACGAGACCAAGACCATTAAAAAGTAAATCGCAATGCGTCAGCCAGGCAATGCGCCGCTGCTTGTTTCTAGGCTGCCTTTCTAAATGATTTAGCATTTCATTGAGTATCTTCTCATACCTACGCAAGAATCCGAGTTGAAAGCTCATCGCAAAAAAAGAAAATTCAATAATTGAGGCCAGAAAACCAAGTTAACATCAATACCATGGACTACGAGGATTACATTGCTGTGTTAAAGTGACAAGCAGCACAGACATCTCCACCACATACTGCCATATCTCATCGTCACAAGCAATATTTTGGCAGCAAGCGTCCAGAATTGCGTCCGCATATCCACCAATCTCGGCAGCACTAACATTTTTTCCAAGACATATAAAGCTTATCATACCTTGGCCCTGAATATAGAAAGCAGAAAATTTCCATTCACAAAGACAAAAAATTATTGAGTGGATAAATAGTTCTATTCCTTTAATTAAAGTACTATGTAAAACAGGAGAAAAAATAGTTCGTAACATAGAACAGGAGCAATAAAACAGAGAATGGATAACTTTCTCAAAGAAGAAAATATAACGATTTCCAAAGTTCTCAGGATTACAAACTACAAAACACCGTCCATTAGCACTAGATGCCACGACAAGTTACAAGAAATTACTCGAAGTTTCAAATTGTCCAATCACAGAATTATATCTACAAAAAATTAGTAACAAATACTTCACTAATTCATCAATCCAGTTCGGTAAGGCATATCACATACAAACATTATTAAATCATTGCGGCTTCAGGATTTCATTAGTTAAATATGTACAGATAGAAGTGTCACCTAATAAATGAGAAATGAAACATAATACCTTGAATTACTGCTTTTCAGAAGCGTTGAAAGGCAAAAGAAATCTAGAATTGAGGGAGGGAACAAGAAACACAAGGGAATGAAGCTTGACCCAAACAAAATGACAGCTATGTCCAATCCCAATCATAAAGACATATTAAACAGAAACAAATGACATCTAGACCTAATAAAACTCTCTTTCAACTTCCAAAACTTTGACAAAATTTAAATAATTGCATCATTGCCTAAATAGTAATGGATCCAAGCGAGAACGAGCATTTGGTGCACCACAATAATTCAAAAGGCATATAGGCAATCGAAAATAACAATTAGGCATAACAAAAATGCGATAAGAAAATTAAAATCACAACACAAAGGAGTTATGCACCAACTATGGATCTTACTTTTACTTCTGGAGACCAGTGGTCTAATGCTGTCAAAGCACATGGAATCACCAAAGGACACAATTTCCCTAATTGTGGAGCTCCCACCTATAATCGACATCCAACAATGTTCCACAATAAATATCATAGAAGCTTCGTTCAATTCACAAAAGTCACTAGAATGATTTATATACTTACATACATATATATATATATATATATATATAGAGAGAGAGAGAGAGAGAGAGACCTGGGTAACAAACCATCTGAACTGATAGGCAGCCAAAATGGCATAAGCCACAGGAACCCTGGCGCTGGCAGCTGAAACTGCGCCACTCTCTTCGTCGGGGCCAATGGCGCTCTCCTTTATGCTACTCTTGAGCAGAGGCAAGACCTCTGGCATCAACTCAATTGCCAGCTTCTTTTCACAATCCGACACCTCCCTCAAATCCAACTCCAGTTCGCCGAGGACTTGCGTCGAACACTTCGAGCGCATGGCATCGTCATAATAAGCCGTTGTAAAGTCTTTCCACGCAGAAACGGCGCAGTCGGAGAGCGACTCAGGGACCCACGAGAGATGCTGGCTGGGGAAGTTTGGGGAGGAAGAAGAAGAAGCCAGCGCCGCGCAGCAGAGAGCGAAGTCTTTAATTTTGGTTTGGAGCTGTTGATCGGGAACGGAGGGGTCCGGGAGGAGAGATAGGAGCAGGGATTTGACGGAGACATTGGCGTGGGCAGGCGGCGGGGCGTACGAAGTTGCGGAAATTGATTCCCTCAAGGGTTCCGATACTCTGGAAAAATCAAGAAAAGTTAGAGCAGAAAACCTGGTGCAGTGTATGGAACAGGTGAGGTGGAGAGAAGAAATTACTGTATGAGAAATTGAAGGAGATTGGATGATGATGAGGAAGAAAGGGCGAGGGTTCCATGGCCGCTCATGGTTGCCGCTGAGAATGAAGAATTTCTTTGAAAATTGGCAAAGAATATATCTATCTATTTACAGTATATTTTTAAATATTACTATATCAAATAAAAAATATATATACTATATTCCTATAAAAAATTAATTACATAATGATTATAATATTTTTCAATAATATACAAATTATAAGAGTTTTTTTTTAAGAGTAATAATTATTTGTTTGTCTCATCGTATATCATAATAATATTTTGAGAAATTATTATTTTTGTTTTAATATAATCAAAATTCATCGATTTTGGTTTAAAAATAAAAAAAAATCATTAATCTTAGTTCTAATATAATCAAAACTCATATTTTTTGTTCCAATATTACCAAAATTTATATTTTTTTTGTCCCAATATAATTAAAATTTATATTTTTTTGTCTCAATATAACCAAAACTCATCGCTTCTAGTCTCACTTTCATTCCACCAACAAAAAATGCTGACGTAGATTTAACGGAGCTGACCAACGAAAAATGCCGATATGGACTTAACGGGCCGACATAGCAGATAACCTGGAATGAACACGACCGTATATTATCTAACTCGTCCGTATTTCTACAAGTCAGCATCCCCAGTCATAATACACGGCCGTGTAGCAGTCTTACGGCCATGTTCCCGGGCTGTGTACACACAAGGCCATGTGTCTACATGAACACGGTCGTATTCATCTGAACAGACAATTTCTGTGAGTCAACACGGCTTTGTTTAATGGTACACACAGCCGTGTTAAAGTTTTACAGCCATGTACTCAGGTTGTATTGTTGCACGACTGTGTATACTTGAACATGGTTGTGTTAAGTCGTTTGATTCTATTATCTCTCTTGTATCTGACACGGTCATGTATTATTCCATTAAGGCCGTGTATCTTTCTGTTTGGAGCTTAAAATTTAATATTTTGGATTTATTTTTTTTTGAAATTTGTATAATGAATTTAAAAAAATAAAATTATTAAATATTAAATATTACCCATTTTTTAAGTTTGAATTAAAATTAGTAAGAATAATATAAACAACCTTTAAATTACTTTAAGGAATAGTACATACTTAAAATAAATAAAAAAAAATCATTACATACTAAAAACAAAATACAAGAAAAAAAAACACAAAGCTACTCGTCCTCATTTCCGCTTGGATGATCTACAAACAAAGCATCTCAATCAATTATGACATCGTTGTATTCCGGTGTAGGAGCATGAGAAGCGTCATCGTTTGGTGGAACATAAATAAAGAGATGCTGAAAAATACGCGAATATGAAAATCTCATCTCCAACCGCATACCGTCCATCTGGCGATGCACCTCCATCTGCAAATCGTCCATACGGCGATGCATATCTATGTGTTAGTCATCAATGACTGACCTGTCGATGGGCATGGTATCCTAAACCATGTCGTGCGGCTTATCACCCTCTGGCGCGCCCTGATCACCGGGAAGCTGATCACCCCATCTACTGGTCCATTAACCCTATCAACTAATACATATTTATCTACTCCTCCCCTCGCCACCTTCCTAATCATACCCATCATCTGCAACGTCTGAAAACCACAAGGCTGCGTGACACATATCGGATCCTCAATATCTTCCTCTAAAAGCCGAAGGCCCTTTGCCAGTCGAGTAACATACGGACCAAGAGAAATTTTCCTCAAACAGGCGTCCTCGAACTGATGTATCATAGATTAAGCAAGCATAAAACCCAAATTTATAAGTTGATGCTTTAGCATACTCCAAAGATAGCATAAATCAATATTTGAAAGCCCCGATTGGAAAGTGAGTGAACTAAAATATAATGTATATACCGTAGTGGCGGGTACTGAAGAGTCAATGCCTTAGAACGTGCAGAATTGTAAGCCATTTCAGTGCTAATTTGGGACCAGTACACGGCAGATTGAATATGCATAAGAATAGGCAAGGCTTTGAAGTAATCCGATTCCTCAAAGTCCTGATTATATAAACCCATTATCGGCTAGTGATCTCGAAAACATCTTTCCCAATAACCTAAACGTCAAAGTCTTAGGTTTATAGTTCACCAATCCATAATCAAGAGTTGACATAAACTCCAAACTTAAATTTCTATAACTAGGCTCTACAATCCCAAAAAAACGAACCCACGCCTCAACCGAAACTAAAGTCTCTACCTCTTCCCTCATTTCAAAAATAGACAAAACATTCCAATCGATATGCTTACTCTTTGAAAAATGATCTACTCCTAAATCTTTTATATCATTCCGCGTTTTCTAATTCACCAAAACTTAAGACATCATCTTTCGTCTCCACCTGCGAAATAGTTGTTGAAGAATTTGCATCTGTTCGAACTCTCTTAGCCTTACCATTTCTCCTAGGCATTATTATTCTACATTAAATATAAAATCCAAACCAAAAATTTATTTTGCTCAAAATATCCATGAAAAACAACAAAAAAAATAAAATCAAATAATATATATCTTCAAGCAAAAATCATTCTAACAAAATATAATATAATCCGATACTTAAAAAAAACAAAAATATAACAGTAATAAACATAAAAAATTATCAACTAAATGAGAAGAAAGAAAATTTACGGAAAAAAATAGATATATCCACACATTACCTTTGAGTCGAACAAAGAAATCTCAATTTTAACTTCCCTAAATAGACGCCGCCCGCCCTCGTCCGCCGACTGATCCATCATCGCCGTTGCTGGAAAAGGTAAAAATGCGAAAGAAAATAAAAATGGGTCTCTGTGCATTCGACCAGAAGAAAAGTTTAAAAACTTCTAATCAAATCAACCACGGCCGTATAGTAATTTAATACGGTTGTATACTAATTTAACACGGTCGTGTACCTGTCAAAATATTTGAAAAATCGTGGTACACTGCCGTGTACCTAAATTTACACGGCCATGTATCAAAACGGCTGACTTAAACGACCATGTGAAACCCTAATTATTCCTTGAACTATGTGCCTAAACACGGCAGTGTATCTCTCTGGACAGCTGTCAAATCAATACGCCCGTGTTTATAAAGCAACTCGGCCATTTAACTTTCTGTAAATCGCTGGTATCAAGTGTCGAATTACACACACCGTGTTCACATAGCACACGACCGTGTAAGTCTTAGAATAATCATTTTCCAATTTTTTAACACGAACGTCATGTACATACTTTTACACGGCCGCGTAATTCTCGGTAAATCTGGATATCTAGTGTCAAATTATACACGGCCGTGTACATCTCTGTTTTCCTGTTGTACACTCTCATTGCATATCTTTACAATCTAGTATTCAGAAATTCATAAAATTACAATAATAATAATAATAATAATAATAATAATAATAATAATAATAATAATAATAATAATAATAAATTCAATGAAAATAGTATCTAATATTTTTAATTTTCCAATCCCATTACAACCAAAATATCATCCATACCGAACAATCTCAAAACATGTCCAAGCATTACAATCTATCAGAACATGACAATCAATTTTAAGAAATCTCCAAAATCAATACGTTCTTGTCATCTTCCACGTAACGTTCCAATATGACTCAGGTTTACGTATTTTCTCGGGCCAAATTTCGTTTCCTCACCTATTGTATAGAAATTCAAAGATTATTCATAAAAAGTTGTATATACAAACATAATTACTTCAAAATTATACCGTTAATTTTGTTGTGTGGGCTTGTACCCTTTGCGGCTCCTCATGTTTAACGAATGGAAGCTCTTGTGCAGGAATATCACTTGTTTGAAATAATAACCCTTCAGTAGCTTGCTTAATTCTTGCATTGAAATTTGATTCATACAACTGAGTTTTACTCTGTTGACAACCTCTAAGTGTATGACCGATAAGACTACAAAATTTACAAGTTATTCATCTTCTCTGTTTCGAAAAATTATTATTATCTCATTTTTGTCTTCTTGTGTATCCCTTCTCCATAATCTCATCGGAGTCACACCTTCTTGTTGTTTTAGGCCGGCCAACAGAGCATTTTATGATAGATGGAAATGGTAGAGGCAATCCAGTTTTCGGCCACAATTGTGCTCCATTCATGGGGCCAATCGAATATGAATAAACCCTTTTAAAGGTCTCAACATTATATACTTCGTCAACAAAGTCCGTTGGATCTAGTTCTTATCCGCATATGACACTCATTCCATGACGACAAGGAATCCCACATAAATATCATTTTCTACACCCACATGACTTCTTCAAAATGTCAACTACAAACTTGTTTCCATCGGAACAACCCACGTCATAGGTCCAATCATTGGCTTTAATCGGTACACATGATGAAACTTCTTGAATGATTTTTCCATGATCTTCACTATTTTGGGGCAAAACTGCATATTCTCTAAATTTTGAAGTGTCATTTCCCTTCGCTTTGCAAGCCGTAACAATAGATATCTCCTAATCCATTCCAACATAAGAAATATTGACATTTCTCTTGCATCCAATATAATATTGTTGAAAGATTCACACAAAATGTTCAAAATCATATCACACTTTGAAAATGTGGCAAAATACGACATTTACCATTGTGAATGTGGTTTGTCGGCCAATCAATCTACATATCTTCCATCCAACTTTTGAATCTCCTTCGTAGCATCCTCGAACTCGGGAACAGTTGTTGCATCTGCTGTCATTCAAATAAGTCGTTTGTATGCAAGTCCCTTTAACCCAGTACTTTTCATATTACCGTAAACATGTTGTATACAAAATCTTTTTTCTAATCCGGGAAATTTTTTTTCCATAACAGACACAAGTCTTTTCTATTTGTCTGATACGAAGGTATATGACTCATCATGTTCTATAGTTGGATAATCTTTCAACAGCATGAAAAACCATTCACTTATCTCACTTGTCTCATTCCCAACAACAACATAAGCCAAATAAAATAATTCATTATTAGGATTAATTGAAATCGCAGATAAAAATATACCTTGACATGGACCCTTCAAATGACATCCATCGACCCCAATCATAGGTTGAGGACCGGATTGAAATCAGAGAATGAGCAATTTCAAACATATATAATATTTGCTAAATCTTCGTCATCCATTCATAAACTCACATTCCAACTCCATCAAGACATGTGATCCCATATTCAATTACCACAATGCTTCGACATAATTTCATAACTTTTCATATTGTTACTCCGCATCACCATCAATTGCTTTAAGTATTTTTTTTTTTTTTTTGGTCCTATATGCTTATTGATATGATACATTGCATCTAATATCTTTGAAAATATCCACTCTAAATCCTTTCACACATCTTGAAGGGTCTGATTGAAACAACAATTTGTATTTTTTGGCAAGCTAGGAAGACTTTACATTCTTGACATTCAAATCACACATACAGTCATGCTTTAATTGATAGATTCTGAGTTAATATGTTGATTGATCGCTCACTTTCAAAGCATTGATTCTCCAATTACAAACTAAAATTGATCACTTTTAGTCTCATGATAGTTAAGACTGAACAAAGCCGTGTTAACATGAATACAGTCTTGATGGATTACTTAAAAAGGTGATTAAGGCAACAACATACCGGTATTGTTGTGTTTATTACCCTACTCTGAACATGGTTGTGTTCATGTCGCTCTTCATGGTTGTGTTCATGTCACCGGTATTAATATTTTAAAAATTAACAATAAAAAATATAAAATTAATATATATTTTTAATTATCATAATTTTAGTAAAAAAATTTTAAAAATAGAAAAAAATAGATTTAATTATTATAATTCATAATTCATAATTTAAAATATAAAAATAAAAATATTATTTTAAAAATTATAATATTTTAATTAGAAAAATTTTAAAACGACATTAATAATTTATTCGGATATTTTATCTCCTTATCGGGTCCGATAGGTTTCGGATGGATCCCGAATCCGATCCAATTTGAATCCGATTAAAATAATAATATTACAATTATATATATATATATATATAAAGTATTAGAAAAGATTTGGTTTAATATAATGTTGTAAAAAAAAAAATACACATTAATAGAAAAAACTGTAGAATAATACTACCTCCGTCCCACATACCGTGTTAATGCTGGAGACACGGTATTTTAGGAGGGGTGTAATTAGTAGATAATTAAGAATGTATTAGTGAAAATAATTATCCTATAATATAAATAATTATAAAATAAGATTAAAATAACTAATTAGTCTAATTAAAATTAAAAAAAATAAATTAAAAAGTTTAAAATGAGATTAAAGTCTGTAATCATTTTCCAAAAAAAAAAGTGATATGGTATGTGGGACGGACAGAAACGGCAACATGGACATGGTACGTGGGACAAAATGAGTAAAATTTTTAAGGCAAAAAATTTAAAATGAAAAGATAAATAACTTAAAAACCAAAGAAAATGAAAAAATAGGATTTTTATGAACTACATAGTGTTTTCGACTCTTTAGAAATTTTGAATCAATATGTTGGAAATAACCGTAAAACAACCTGCTCGATTGAATGATTTTGGTTCAACTATGTATGCCTTGGTATATTTTGACACACTTGGTTGTGTTTGTTTGAGGAATTGAATTTTAAATATGCTATTCATCTCTTCTTTTTTTTTTTTCAAAAACATCAAATCAAACACCTATTTTTTTATATTATATTAAAATTAATTTTACATTCAAAATTACATTAAAACCTATTTATATCACGTTATACAGCTATTCAAATTCAAAATATTTACTATTCAAATTCCAACTCAAAATTCAAACCCCCAAACAACACCCTAATAGAAAGCATTTTCTTCAGCTATAGCCGACGGTTGAGCAACTCTGATCGAGCGCTCTTGCGCCGAAGATGAACGGGGCTAAGCGATCTGCCGAAGCTGTGGGATGTAAAAATACATCAATTGATTATTCCTCTCCGTTCGTATCTATCAACCTAAATCTTTTGGCGAAATAGTCGATTCAAAACTACAAAAATAGGTGGATTAAAATTATGCATGACAAAAGATGAATTTTTTGTTTGAAAGTAATATTTGGATCTTTGTTTCAAAATATGCACATCATTCTTTAATTGACTTGAGGTGAATTTTCAAAGATAAAAGAGAAGAAAAATATATTAGACTTAAAGGAAAAATTAATAGCTAAGAGCTTTTACTAAAAAAGAATTTATGTATTATAATCCGATATTATTTTATATTATGCAAATTTTTATTGATCAAGTCATGTTTGTTAGATTGCTCATTTTATTGAAATTTTAATGAATTATATTATAACTTTTCTTCTTTCTTTTTCTACTTTTTTGTTTATTTTAATGGGGAATTTAAAAGAAACGATGTGTTTGTATGACAATTTTTTTAAGATTTCTATTATTCATTATTTTTTTTAAAAAAAATATCAATCGACTACTAATTTTTTTTTATATTTTATATTAAAAAATAATTTTTTATTAAAATATCGTATTATGACCTATTTATATCATATTATATAACAATTATAATTTAAGATTTTTATTATTTAAATATCAATTCAAAATTCAAATTCACGAACAAAGACACTATTTATTGATGGGATTCTTGAGAGAAAATTGTTCGATCAATTCGAGTGGCATTCAATCTTGTGTTTTTGTACTAGTGTACATTCCGTTGTTTTTTTTTATATATAATTTATATGATAATTTATAAAATAATATTAATCTCTCCGTTCACGAATTAATATCCTACTTTTTTATTTGGAATATCTAACAATTATTGTTCTAGTTTTTTGTTTAAACACAAATTATATATTTTTACAGTCCATTTATTTATTATTTTTAATCTCTATTATACAATTAATGACAAATTTGTTAATTCATAACAAAAAGACAATCACCTAAAAAATTGTGCAAATATACTTTAGAACAATAAAAATTGGACAAAAAAAGTATATTTTTATTAAAATAATATAAATTCAATAGTATTAATTTAAATTTAAAATTCAAAAGAAACATATCTATATTCAGCATATATTTATATCATACTTAAATATTTTTCCATTTCTAAAATCAATTAAAAACTTTAAACCAACATATATTAATATCATACTTAAATATTTCCCCATTTCTAAAATCAATTTAAAACTTTAAACCAAGTCTATAATTATGAATAATACTATTAGGTGTGTTTTTTTGAGGATTCGTCAATTTTTTTTTTTTTTTTAAATCAAATAAAATGCTTATTTTTTATTTATTATATTATACTAAAATTTAAATTTTAGATTCAAAATATTATATTAATACTTATTTATATCAAATCATATAATTATTCTAATTCAAAAATTTTACTACTTCCTCCATCTCATAACAAAGTATCAATTTTTCTATTTTAGTCCGTCCCATAACAAAGTATCTATTTCCCTTTTTAGTAACTGTACTATCTAACTAACATTACAAATACCTTTATAACTTACAATATATTACACAAATGTCATTACCTTTATATCACACATACTAACAAGATTATTTTAGTCATTTCTACTTTATTCATACTATATCCCAATATAATAGTAATATTTTTAAAACTACGTGCAAAAAACAAATGAATATTTAATTTTGGGACGGAGGGAATATTAAAATCACAACTCAAAATCCAAGTATGAACAAACACGCCCTTAAGGTTGTCTGTCGTTAGCCAAATCATACACACATTCTCATGTGCATCCCACATTGTCTTTATCCACTTTTCTTGTGAAAACTAATAAACGACGCCGTTAAGGCTTACAATTCAAAAACAAAGTGGAAAATGATACGTTTCCAGCATATGATATAATTTACAGATATTTATATTTATTCCTTTCTCTCTCATTCTTACCCCCTCTCTCTTTCTCTCTCTGCCCACCATAATCATTATTCTCCACCATTTCTGCATCCCCTCCTTCTTACCTAAAACAAATCCGAAGGGTGGTCTGATTCCGCCATTTTCGCCCCCCCCTTTTCTGCGTTCTTTCCGCTTCTCGATCAGCAATCTTGGTTGACCAAAATTATTCTTACAAGGTATGTTGTAGCTCTTTGACCCAATGGAAATAGGTTTTGATTGTTTTAACCGGTCCAAGACGACGTCATCTGTAATCTTAATCTGAATTGAAGTTTTGAATTTAGATCGGTTCGAAAATGTTAGGGCTGAAGTACCTATTAGGAATGCTCCGCCGGTTTTCTTACATTTCGATGTCTGTAAGTGGTTTTGGAAGGTCAGATCTGATGTGGATTTTTGTTTGAATCGTAGAAAAAAGGTCGAGAGGGGAAAATGTCGTTTATTGGAACGCAGCAGAAATGCAAGGCCTGTGAGAAGACAGTTTATCCGGTGGAGCTTTTGTCTGCTGATGGAATCAGCTATCACAAGTCTTGTTTTAAATGTTCCCATTGCAAAGGAACCCTCAAGGTCTATATAGTTTTATTTATTTATTTATTTATATAATTTATTATTATTTTTCAACAATTGGATCCATGTTTTTTATGATCATTGTTATTGTTCATCTGTGGTGTGTGGTGTGTGATCTTTATTAGTTATGGGATTTTGATGATTAATTACTTCATGACATTTTGTTTGGATTTAGTGGTTGAGTTGCAATGTAGTGTAATTGGATTTCTTGTTTTTTGATGATCTCATTTGAATGAACTTCTTTCTTTGAAGAATTTTGATTTACTTCGAATCTTTGAAGTTTGTGGTTAGAATATTGAGGTGATTATATCTAAGGTGTTGAATGATTATTCTTGTTAAGAAGTGACTATGATTTAGTAATGTGTAGTGAAAATTTGGTGTGGAATGTAGGAAATTTTTTTGTTTTATTCTTGATGAAAATTAGATATAATTTGTCATTCCTAATTTTAAATGCATTTTATAAGGGTATGTGTTTGTTTTTTATTTCAAATAAAAAATTCTACTATTCATCATTTACAATTTTCAATAAAAATACACAATTTCTTATCACAAAATATTATATCAAAATATTAGTTATACCAAAACTCAAATCACCATCCCAATTTCAAATCAGCACCAACCAAACCCTCAAGGGTGTGTTTTTTTTGGAGGTTCGGATTTTGTGTTTGGGTTTTGAATAGTAACATTTTAAATTGGAATAACTATTTGGTGTGATATTTTAAATGTAAAATTAATTTTTACTATAATACGTATGCATTTGATTTAATGTTTTGAAGGGAATTGAGATTTTGGAATAATAGTAGAAATCATCTAAAATTCCCCAAACAAGCACAAACATACATATATATCTATGTATATATGTGTGTGTACTTATCACAAGTCAATCCATCATGTGTGCAACAATGGAAGATAGAGTCTCCAACTTCAAGTGAAGACAAAAAAAAAAATCCGAGTGAAGGCAATTGATAGTTTAAAACATTAGGATTAGCTAGGGGGTCAGGAAATAAATAGGTGAGTTCATAATCATGTGGTAAATTTACGATTATTGCTTTTGTTAACATAGTAGCTAAATAATCCGAACACATTACATAAGAGTAAATATTGTATGATTGTTAAATTTTCCACTATCTTCTCCGTTCCTCATTGTAATAACACAATGTTGGTTCACAATCATTAACATCTTCACCATCACGAACAACAATCAGCCGAAGAACACTGCAATTGATTGTTTATGAGCTTTACTTATTCCTATGATAGTAATAACTTAGAAACATATGATAGAAATCCCTTAAGAGAGGAAAGCTTACTCGCTTATGATGTAATAACACTAAGGAGCTAGCCATACACGATCAAGTTCCCGATGTTTTTGGTTGATTTATTTCCTACATTTTCGGCTAACAATGGTTTTACCTCAGTTGAGCAATTACTCGTCGATGGAGGGCGTGCTGTACTGTAAGCCTCACTATGAGCAGCTCTTCAAAGAGACCGGAAGTTTCAGCAAGAACTTCCAATCCCGTACGTTTGCATATGTTATGATGCAAAGCCTTTTATTTCCCTCTCTTCTCAAGAGATCTTATCCTTTTTTGGGATTATTGATTGTTTATTTAATTTTATTTTTATTTTGTTTTTTTCTCTGCAGCTGTGAAGTCAGCTGAAAAGTTAACTCCAGAGCTGGTGAAATTTCATGTTATTTTGGTTGGTTTGCATGTTTTACTATGTCCTTACAGCCTCTGATTTTCATCTTTGTTGCAAATTTCAGACAAGATCGCCGAGCAAAGCTGCCGGAATGTTTTCTGGGACGCAAGATAAATGTGCTACATGTGGCAAAACAGCTTATCCGCTGGAAAAGGTATTGTTACTAACTACATGTGGTTTGTCTATACATTTACGCCTGAAGCCCCAAAGTTATCACTTGAAGTTTACGTCAATTTCCAAATTTAAAATTAGAATTGGAAAGCAGAGTTGGAATTTTTGCAAATAAAAGAATAACTACGAAGGAAGTTCGTATGGGCTTGTTAACTTTGTCTGTGTGTGTTTTCAATGTTTTTGAGGCGAAATAATTGTGATATTTTGAATGAAAAATGGACGTTGGACAAGTTTTTCTTTTTTATTTTTTTTCTTTTGGCCGGGGAAAATTGCTAGGTTGGATCTTTAAAAATTGGAAGAAAAAAAACACATAGGGTTAATAGAGATCTTAGATCTCTATTAACCCTAACTGTAGAAACTTATAATAGGGAGAATGATGGTTTTAATTTAATGGAATTATATTGATTTGATAATGATTTAATTATCTAAATTAATATAATCTTATAAAAAAAATAATTCTGAAGTTGCTAGAAGCATGAAGGTTGAAGTTATTACCAACATCTGTAATCTCTCGACTTTATTTTTTATTTCATAAAGAGAATTAAAAGATGTGCACCCCTTGTTTTGTTCATGAACCTCAAAGACTTTGTTTAGTGTAATTTGTATATATGCACTTTCCCTATACTTGATTTTATTAGATCACGCGAATGATCCCATGACAATGCATACACCAAAATGTGAAGAAAAATGCATGAAATTTTATACGGCATAGATCAGGCACATAATCGACCAGGTTAAAAAATCTACCTCACATTAATTGAAAGCAGTGCTATATACTGTTTCTGATTTGCTGTGCAAGAATTTCATGTCTACTTAGTCGTGGAGAACTGTTCGACCCTTGTTTGTTTCTCTATATATGTTCATCCTCGATCTCACAGAAATGGTTGTTGCATAACCGGGGCTTTATTAATGCTGTTGAGATATTTTAGATAGACAGTTTTAAATTTAGGGTGTATTTGTTTGGGGATTGGATTTTAAATCATCCTATTTTTTCCCCCCCAAAAACATCATATCAAACATCTATTTTTTATTTTTTATATTATACTAAAAATCAATTTTGCATTTAAAACATCACATCAACACCTATTTATATTACATTATACAATTATTCAAATTCAAAATTTTTACTATTCAAATCCCAACTCAAAATCCAAACCCCCAAACAAACACACCCTTAGTAGATTTATATTTAGATTTGATTTTAATTCTTATCCATAGATTAGATTACTTAGATTTGAGTCTATCGAGTCTGATTTGTATTGCTTATATATAGGCTCATTATTTTGATAATACAATTTTATTATTTTCCTCCAAAATTTCTAACATATGCAATTTTTAAAATATTTTTTTGGCGTATTGATTCAGGTGACGGTGGAAAACCAAAGCTACCACAAGTCTTGTTTCAAGTGTTCGCATGGCGGGTGCTCGTTAAGTCCTTCGAACTATGCAGCATTAGACGGCATCCTATACTGCAAACCTCACTTTTCGCAGCTCTTCAAGGAGAAGGGGAGCTACAATCATTTAATCAAGTCGGCATCAATGAAGCGACCGACTGCTGCTGCTGCCGCCATTGTTCCGGATTCCTGATCAATTGGTTTCTTGATTTGCCTATATCTGTTCTTGATTACTCACTTGTGTGTGGTGTGATTTATTTGATAATCTTCTTCTGGTTGATCTTGATCTTGATCTTAGATCTTTTTCTAATATATTGATGTGGGAAGTAAAAATGTGTCTTGCCCATGTAATATTCTTTCAGTTGGTGTGTTTTGATCACATGCAATTTATGGGATCTTCGACTAAAATGTTGCTGTTATTTTTCATGCTGAGGTTTTGGGATCGTCAAATTTATTTTGATTCGCTAATGTTATGTAACTTTGGTTGGTTATGGAGATTCAAGAAATGATGATATTATAATACTAAAGTGGGTATGTAAAAAGATAACGTAGGAGTATTATATTCTCATTATTGCAATTTAAATTACTATTTTTATTATTTGTCTATTTTGTTTAAAAGTATTATTTTTTTATTATAATAAAAATAATTATACTAATTTTAAAATATTGTTCAATTTTTATATTAATTATAAATATATTATTACATATATATTTGATTTATATATAAATACAAATAACAAAAATATTAAAATTATTTTATATACTTTTAATAATTCATAAATTGTTTTTTTAATCTATTAAAAAATTCGAAAGGAGCCTTTGGATTAAAACGGAGGTAGTAATAAATTTATTATTGAGTTAATAAAAAAATAGTGGAACAATTAAAAAATTATGGTAAAATTATTGTAATAAATTTATTATTGAATTAATAAAATAATAGTGGAACAATTAAAAAATAATGGTAAAAATTATTTTTATTTATTAGAATAAAAGTAATAAAAATGTGGGTGCTAGTAATATATTTATTAAATCTCATTTAACTTATTCAAATACTTTTCAAAATACTTTTATTTTATATTACAATTGATCAATATAATATTCTCTCGGTTTCAATTCAAAGTATTTTTTTTACTATTTTCATCTGTCTACTTAAAAATATATTTTTCCTATTTTAGTAAAAAAAATTATAAATTAATACCAAAATACCCTTGACTTTTACTTAAATTACAAATATACAATTACACATACAATTACTTAAAATGTCATAATATGAAGAACGATTCGCCCTCAAATCAACTCGAGCTTCATCTCCATCAGAGTTGTTATCGGAGAAGGGAACCAAGTGTTTGAACGTTGAAGATATCCGAAGTGTATATGGCCGGGAAGATGGAGGCGATAGGCATTCGGGTTGATTTTCTCCACAATCTCAAAAAGGCTGATCTTTTGGGATTTCAGCTTATTGTATTCATGAAGAGGGAAGTGATCTTTAGTCAAAACAGGCCATACAAAATCATCAACCTTAAATTGCACTTCACAGCGTTTGAAATCCGTGATAACCTTGTACTTGGAATTTGAGGCCTCTACGTGGAGGTGCATCATAGCATGAATTTGTTGGAATTCAACAATTAGATCTGCAGCACGAAAGTCAGTAGGAATGGTGGAAGGTATCCTTAGGAGATCTATAGGGGCCCGCATAACCACCCAAGACTTCTATTAGATGCCTGATTATGAGCGAACTCTGCAAGACATAGTTTGGTATCCCAAGTCTTCAAATTATCCCCAACCAAGCAATGCAGCAAATTGCTCAGAAAATGGTTAACAACCTTTGTTTGTCCATCGCTTTGAGGGTGGTAAGCGCTGCTAAAATGTAACTCCGCGTAGGCTATGCGCCATAAGGTCCGCCAAAAGTGCCGAAGAAACCTGGAGTCTTTGTCTGAAACAATGGATAAAGGTAAACCGTACAAACGAAATACCTCACGGAAGAAGAAGGTCGCAATGTGCACGACGTCGGATGATCGCTTGCATCGAATGAAGTAGACTATCTTAGAGAAGCGATCAATGATGACGAAGATAGAGTCATGATGGCGTTGTGTGAGAGGGAGCCCCAGAATAAAATCCATGCTGATGGTAGCCCCATGGTTGTGGAGGAACTAGTAGCGGCTGTTATAGTCCCGCATTAGAGGTGGTGCCCTTCAAAACCTGGCATATTCTGATGAGAGACAAAACAACTGACATTGGGGCAAATCATAGGCCAAAAAAACTGATGAGATACCAATTCAATCGAGTGGTTGCGGCCAACATGGCCAACGCCGTGCACTTCAGAAATATTTTTCAACCGTAAACTGCAAGCAGGAATACACAAACAAATGCCCCTAAATAGACATCTATCGACCATGGTATATAATAATCCTCGTAAGCTGCATGATGTAAAATGGATAATATACGACCAAAAAAAGAGTGAGTGGCATAAAGATCGCAAAAGATATCAAAGCCAAGTACCTCCACATGCATGTCGGATAATAAGGAAAAACATCTACTAAGAGCATTTGTCACCTTGTTGTCCGTTCCAACATGATGACGGACAACATTCATAAATTGATGAAGGTACGATGTCCACTTTGCGTGGTGTGTTGAGAGGAAGTCTTGAGTGGCCAAGTGTTTGAGGACCTCATGGTTCGTGTAGAGAACAAACTCCCAATGAAATAAATAATGACGCCAATAAACAGCATGCACAAAAGCATAGAATTCAAGATCATAAGTGTTGTAACGTGAACGGGGGCCTGTAACCTTTTCACTAAGAAAGGCCACAACATGGCCTGCTTGGGTGAGAACAACACCAATACTGATCTTGGAGGCATCCGTACACAATTCAAATGGAGAGGTAAAATCTGAAAATGGAAAGAGAGGTGCGCTTGTGAGGGGAAACTTAATCTCTCGAAAAACGGCATTAGTCCGTGGAGTCCAAGTGAAGGTTTGACCATGCACAAGTGTCCGTAAGAGAAGCAACAATAGAGTTGAAATTCCGAATGAAACATCGATAGAAAAAGGCGAGCCTATGGAAGCCACGAACCTCGGTGAAGGTTGTGGAGGTCGGCCAATCCCGAATAGTTGCAATCTTTGACTTATCAACACCAAGTCCAGTAGAAGAAATCCAATAACCCAAGAAAATTACCTAATATATTAATAAGGTGCACTTCGAAGGGGAGACATAAAAATGTTCCATCCGCAATATTTGTAGAACATCTCCAAGATAGGACAAATGTTCAGTGTCGGACTTGCTGTAAATCAAAATATCATCGAAATAAACCACGACACAGGAACCAATGAGTGGTTGTAATGTCTAGTTCATGACTTGTATAAACGTACTCAAAGGGTGTGTTTGTTTGGGGAGTTGGATTTTGAGTTGGGATTTGAATAGTAAAAATTTTGAATTTGAATAGTTGTATGATGTGATATAAATAGGTGTTGATGTTGAATGTAAAATTGATTTTTAGTATAATATAAAAAATAAAAAATAGGTGTTTGATTTGATGTTTTTGGGGGGAAAAAATTGGATGAATAGTATAAATCAAATCCAATCCCCCAAACAAACACACCCAAAAAGGCCTTCACATGTCTTTTAAGTGGTTTTCCTCTCATCAGGCGAATTCTAATTTGATGACAACCACTACGAAGATTAAGGTTGCAAAAATGATAGCTCCAGCTAGTTGATCAAGAAGGTCATCCAAGCACGGAATAGGGAAACTGCAATGCATAAATGATCTTATTGATTGTCCTGATATCAACACACATATGTCACTCCCCCAATTTCTTTGGAATAAACAAAGTAGGAATTGCACAAGGGCTCAAATTATGTCGAATGAGTCTCTTTTGTAATAAATCTTCCACCTAGCGACGTAATTCATCATGCTCGGTAGGGCTAATGCGATAGTAAAGATGGGGTGTGGTGGATGCCGGTGTGAATGGGGTGCTAGCGCGGAGAAGCATCTACCGCTCCAAGGCAACCACACGTTGGTGCACTTCAGAGACCAATGAGGGGAAGAGAAGGTTGAGCGCATCTTGAATTGCGATGCGTAAGCCCCCTATATACTGAAAAGTCTATTCTTCCCCAGGTTTAAACAAATTCGATTGGGAAAGGAGTTGATCTGGGGCCTTGCTTCAAATTTTGTTAGTGTTGGTACAAGAGACATGTGTAATTGAAAGACAAGAATTCGGACTTCAAATATTTAACGAATTTCTCCCAAGAAGTAACATGAGGTTTTCCGCGGTGTTGACGAGTTGTCTTAAACTGGGACTATCAAGATGCAACATAACCGTGAAGGCGGGTGGCAACGAGAGCGACACGGCGGTCCTGTGAGACGGATTTGAAGTCTAGCACCTCCTCGATGGAACACAACCAATCGAGAAAATCGTTAGTGTGTAGCTAGTGTTCTGTGAAATTATGGCAGATCCAATTTAAATTTTTTCTCCCATCGGCGACTTTTGTCAAACTCACGGTGTCAGTGTCCAACCAAAGTAGCAAAAGGATTGTCAGCAGAGGCCTCATCGTCCGAGGTAAGATCTGGATTGTTCTGGGTACTGGGAGCAATGATGCGGGCATGGTGGAGCATCACGGAACAAGGCGGGAGCGTCCATCGTCCGTGCCTAGAGAAGCTGTATGACAACCCCTAGTTGTTGAGTAAGTTCATCCAAACGTTGGACGATAACATCTTCACGATGCGGATCACGGCGTGGCGGCATGATGGAATCACAAAGGCTGGCTAACTGATACCAGCTGATGTAGCCGATGAGGGGAGGATGAAGATACACAATCTTTATTACTTCAGAAAGAAAATTGTTTTGATCCTCATCTCCTAATTACATATCGTCAATATAAATAAGAGTAGTTTCCCAAAAATAACTATTAAGTCTATATAAAAGCAATTAGACTAAATTAAAGCAATTAAATTCAATGTCTTATTAAATCCGCAATTTAGTGGAAACTAATTTTTCCAAAAATCGAATCGCGGCATCACCTCCATCAGCTCTGCACATATTTATGAAAGTTTTGGAAACAAAAATGCAGCTTGAGTTGATTAATCGTTCTAACAACATTAGTAAGGGAGCATCTAATTTTTAAAAAGTATGATAAAAAAATACTTAGTCAAATACATTAAGATCATTAACAAATGAGGTAAAAAAAATAAAAATATTTGATTTTCACACTCTGGTAATTTAAAATATATCTTAGTTTAGATTTGCATGTTATCCATGAAGGCTTCAACTTCATGTCAAATCTTGCTCCAATTTGTGGAATACATTCTTAGATCGAAAAATCAATATTACCTTAACAACAAAAAATAAATATGACCTCAAAATTATATTTTAACATATTACCTAGATTTATCTGACAAATGAAAAAATTGCATATTTTTTTATCAAATCCGTTCCAAATAACAAGATAAATATAAAAGATCGATCAATCATAGCATAAATATTTTTTTTACCTTAAAGACAACACAATACAATTGTACTAATAACATTCAATAAATTCAGTAATATTTGAACGGTAACAATCAAAAACAACAATGAATTAATATGATCAATCATATTTTGTCTATTTGAGAACATGCAAGTTGAAAGAACGGATGGAACATCAAGCAACATTCGCCCCCACATCTCTTCCTATTTCTTTTCTTCTTTCTTCCCCATTTTTTTTACTTTTTTCCATATTTTATTCTTTTATTTTCCTTGTTACTTCTTTACCCCAATTCTATTGTTGTCAGTAGCAATCGCTCCTTCTTCTTTATTTTCCTCGCAAAGCAAAACTCATTGGCGAAGAAAGTTGCGAAGGAATAAGCATCATCGTTATTTACTTGCTCGCTAATTTGGATCCGAGAAACAATTTTCTCGCAACTTTTTTTGAAAGAATTTTGGCGTGGGAACAATTCCTTTGCAAATAAATAAATTTATTTTTTTCGAGGGAATTCATTCCCTCGCAAACTTCACCTTTGCAAAAGAATAAATTCCCTCGCAAAATTTATTTTTCGTAATTAAAAATTTGCGAGGAAATTTATTCATTCGCAAAAATTCATCGCAAACCATTTTACAAATTATCCCACCAGTAATTTATTCCGAACTCCTATCTTTGTCTCAAACAACTACAAATTAACAATATAAATTCATTTTAAATTCGTTCATATGTCCCAAAGAATTATATACTAACAATACAAAAAGTCATTCCAACAACAATCTAAATAGTAAATACCATGAAATACAAAATAAACTCCGTCCCTAATACTATACGATAATATAAAATAACCCAACTATTCCGTCAATTCAAAAAAAAAAAAAAAAAAACACCCAAAGTGAACGAAACATTGAGCAAATATCGCCCATTACAGTTAACCGTTGTGTTTCTTTTTTGTTAGGATATCCGGCTCGATAATAATAGTTTGATAAGCCATATCTCAACGTCATAAACTAATAAAGCTGCATATGTTCCTCGGTTGGACCGTCTCGAGCCTTCATCTGCGCCACCCGCAGGACTGCTCATTTGGGTTGTTCGGCACCATTCACAAGACCAATGTATTTTATCCCAAATAATATTTTGAGGGTAACCATAACGTAAACTTGGAAAGTTGTATCATCTCTTAATATTTTGTCAAATTTAGCAATATTGTTTTACAGTTAAGCGTTGTGTTTTTTTTTTTTTTTTTTTAAATATCCGACTCAATAACAATAGTTTGATAAGCCCTATCCCAATGTCTTTAAACTTATACACAATTCATTTATAGTAAACTTTACCCTACTATAATTTTATTACTTTTACTTTAACAAATAATAATTAAATTGTCACTATTTTTTTTTACTTATTCCACTATTTTTTATGAACCATTTTAATAAATTTATCATAGTATCCCCATTTTACTTTTTACATACCTCATTTTAATATTAAATTATTATTAATATTTAGGCTCAATGCCCAAACAAACTTACACCATTTTACCGGACGAAAAAGAATATAATAAATAATTAGTGATGTGACTCACAATTTTTTTTTTTTTTTTAATCTGATTTTTTTTTATTTGAAGTGGATATCACCGTTCATCTTCATCTTCATCTTCATCTCGAGACTCCTATAGTTTTAAGGTGAAATGTAATAAACTAGGATGACAAATAATCATTTGAGGTGGAATCTCCGCATATTTTTTTTTAAATAAATAATAATTAATTTGTTACTATTTTTTTTGTTCCATATTTTTTAATCAATCATTTTAATAAATTTATCATAGTATCATCACTTTATTTTTTATATACTTTATTTTTTATATACATAACTTTAATATTAAAAATATCATTATTTTTAAATTTTAATGTCCAAACAAATAGATATAATTAGTGATGGGACCAATATATAAAAAAAATTTTGAACTTTTTCTCTTTGAAGTGGGCCCACCACTTCATGTTCATCTTGAAATTCCAATAGTATTAAAGTAAAATATAATAAACTGATTAGAATAAAAAATTATCATTGAAGTGTTATATCCACACTTAAATTTTTTTATAAAGAAGACACATACCATAATTAAAATAAAAAAATAAGCCCACACAAAAAAATATAAAAAAAAAATAAAAATGAATTCCACACTAAAAAAATTTAAATATTATTTAATTAATTAAAAAATCAAATAAAATTTAATTATATGTTTTATGGGGTGGAACCTTTCATCTAAAAATAAAAAATAGAATCTGAAGAGCAACATGTGACATATAAGAATCAAGGGTAAATATATATGTATGAGCAAAAGCAGTGACTTGAAGATCAACGGCTTCATTATCAAACTCGAGACCCTGTCTTTTCCGTTGACGGTTTTTCGGTGCAACAGCTCTCCTTTCCAAGGTCAAAAAATCAACGGACTTGGAAATGATTGGTGTAAGTTAGGCAGCTTCAAAGTTATTTGCGACCTCTTTTTCTCTCTCTAGCATGGCTGTGTGTTTTAAATACATATATATATATATACACGGACGCATTTAAAATTATACACAATTTTATTTTTTAAACACGGCCGTGTTGAAATTAAAATTAAAAAAATAAATATAATTATTACATGTTTAAACAGTGACCAATTTTGTTTTTCAGAAAAAAACAAAATGATTCAATTTTTTTCTTCATTTCCATACTCCCGCTTATTTAATTTCTTTCCATGTCTATTTTATTAATTATTGTTCCTAAATTAGTGTTATTTTCAATTCCAAAGCCAATCCATAGCAGTCCCGTATTTTTTTTTTCTTTTCTTTTTTTTTTTTTTTTTTTTTTTTATACATTTTTCCTTTCATTTTTACATATTTCATACCATATTCCAATAAGTAATTTTTCATTACAATTAAAAGCGTTAATTTTTGTGTGAGAATAGCTCAGATACCTTTTTGAGTAGGCTAATGAATCCAAATTACGTCGAGTTTGACAAGCCCAATTCACTCAGGCATCATCTATGAAATTTTAACACGTCCAGTGTGACTTCGACGAATCTCATATACTATGCAATTGAGAAATTGCAAGTTACCTTTTCCGGCCAGCACCAACATGTTGAAGGACAAAGGAATTGCCGGTGAAACTTCAATACCGCATGTGTCCGGGAGGTATGGAAAGAATAGTGAGGATTCCGACCACTATTTTACAGGATCATATCCAGGAGGAGATCCAAGCAACACTCTACTCTACGGGTCGGCTTTGACCTTTTCCGGTAGGCTACGGAGTCTTAAAGCCCACAATGCGCAAATAATTCTTATGGATAAAGGACGAGAAAATGCATAAAGGCGAGGCACCGACGGCTAGCCCCGAAAGCATTGAAAATACTCTTCGGAGAAGGCAATGCAAGGGGCACAGCCGGATCACCTCCGGTATTACTCTAATATGTCAATGTGACCTTACTAGCCAAAGAAAACGAATATAGGAGCCTCCCGGACGAGGTTGTGGCTGCAGGACCTAGGCAGTCATCAGGGTAAGCCATTTCAGAGCTGACTTCACATCAAAGACATCCGAGAAGCTAACAAGTATGTATTGCCTAAGTCCCAATGACACAACAATCCTTGTCCGACGGAATAAGCGTACCTCCGAACACATTATGTGGGGTAGCCCCGCCATCTCCGTTAGCAATGGCGATTGCGTAGGACTCTAGTCTGACAGCTCCGGCTATGCCGTGTCCGCTCAAAGGGCAGGTGATCGTTACGTCCACGTCAGCTATTTTAACTTTTAAATGATGAGACTAAAATTGATTGAAATGTTTGTATTAGAATCAAAATTGATGAATTTTTTATATCCAAAATTAATTAATTTTAGTTATATTGAAACTAAAATTGATTTTTTTCCAAAAAACACTGTTCCGATGTAATAAAATCAAAAGACATACGATTAAAAGGTACTCCTAAAATGTATTTGAAAAAATCACTTATCGATTCAACAAAATCCAATATAAACAGGAAGACAAAAGGCCAGTTGAAAAGTCGATCCAAAAGGAATATAAATATATTTATTTATTTATTGAGAAAAAATTAATATATATATATATATATATCTTTGAATATATCCAATATGATATAGCATTTGAAAAAAGGTAAAATAGAGGCATAGCTTCAAACACACCTTTACTAAAACAGAGTAAAACTAACAAGTATGCAACATACAAAGGAAACTTTTAAGAAAAAAAAAAGAGAAGAAAAGAAAACAGTCGCAGGATGTGTGTTGCGAATTAAAATCATGGAAGGAAAGAAAAAAATACATCTTATAAATTAAAATCATGGAAGAGACAGTTGAACAACAAACATATTAAAGCTGTATGTATTTGCTATATAACTAACTAATTCATGTCATGAAGCTATACTCGCAGGATGTGTTGTACCCAATTCAAATCCTTAATTCCCTCAAAACAATTTAGTCAAAAAAAAAAAAAAGCAAAAAATGACTTATCTTTTAAGAAGAACACAAATCTGGGAAGAATCAAGGTCCTTCAGAGTTCTCTTATTGAAACTTCTACTCTGGAACTAATCCTGTGTTTGTTTGTGAGTTTGTGTCGAAACCTCACATCTCAGCTTGCTGAAATACATGCACCGACTGCACAAATACGAGTCACACGAATTAGCATCCATCGCTTGGTTTTGCACCTTATCATGTTGCACGTTAGATGGATGTAGCAGCCGGTGCTTCCCGACTGATCCTGCTTTCATTTACTGCGCTTTTTGGCTTCGCTGTAGAGGATGACGCCAAACACTGTTAAAGTATAGCCGAGCATCCCTGTAACTGAGACGGGATTCCTGAAGATCAATATGGACACTACCACAGCTACAGCACCTTTTGCATTCCCAAGGACCTGTAATGATTGCCAATGATGAATGCAATCGACGTGGCAAAAATTAATTTCATATTGTTGCAAGAACAGCACGAGAAATGATCCCTAATCACAATCGAAACATAGCCATGTATGTTATCCAAAAAAGAAAATGCTAGGCAGTGTGATCGACATCTTTAGTTTATGTCAGCAGTGTGATCGACATCTTTAGTTTATGTCAGCAGTTTAATCTTTTTGATTGTCGATTTTGTTTTTTCCCCAAGTACACAGCCACTCTTAAAAAATTCATATCACATTTTTGCAATAACAACATGAGAAATGACACCTCATCCCAATTGAAACCCAAAAAAGACAAAAAACTAGGTAGAGTGTTGACATCTAGTTTGAGGCAGCAGTTTAACCTTTTACAACATCAATTTTTTTCCAAGTACACAGCCACTTATTACAAAATTAGATTCTCATTTTCAAAATAACAGCCTGAGAAATGATAGTTCATCCCATTTAAAACATAACCATGTACCCAAAAGAAAGTGCTAGGTAGAGGGATCGTCATCTTTAGATTGGGTCAGAAGTTTACTATTTTTCATTTTCAATTTCTTTCCAAGTACATGGCCATTCATTCAAGGAAATTCACAAACTGAAACCATAACCCAGTAAACATTAAAGATTCTAAGACCTAGTCCATTTTCATTAAAATATATGAAACTTTCATTCTTTGAGTTTGTTATCATTCCGTGACACTAATAACCCTATCAAATGTTAATAAGGTGTCCAAGGAGCAATATCTAATTAGGTCTATCTATTAGCAGTTAGAGATGTGATAATCAGATTGACGAGTGTTTATCAAATATTGCAGTATCTAATTAGGTCAATCTATTACTATTATTCATGTCAATATCCCTATTCTGAGGCAATTTAGATATAAGAGTTCATCTTGGTCCATTTTACGATTCCATATATTGGGATGCTTCTATCTCTAGTATTTTTTTTTTTTATGGAAACCAAAATCAATGAAAAATAAAGATAGAATAGAAGAAGTTAGAATCGAAGAAGAACCAAGAAGTACCTGAAGTGTTAGAGCACTGGTGTGCTTTGTTACCAAAAAATTGGTCAAATTAACAAAATATGCGAGTGCAGAATTGAACAGCAGCAACCAGATAATTCTGATATCTTCCCTTGCTAATGCCATGGTGATACCAACGACATTTTCCTCCATATAAAGCGTCGCAGGAAGAAGCAATACAACGGCTATAGGAGCCATGTATAGGAGCAGATTCATTGAATTCAACTTTTCCCTAAAATAAACAGTAGAAGAAGTTTCAGGTACCATTTCATTGTGCTGCCAAAGAAATAAAATCCTACGTGATACTACTAGAGTAAACAATCGAGGAAAACTTAGGAGCCTTACGCCTCAGACGAAAGTAAAATCCCCTGAACGACAGATTTTAGTGCCCTTGCAGCTGTTGCACTCACACACATGATGAATCCAAACAAATGGAAACTGGGCTCGCCCTAACATCAACAGGAGGACGAGAATCAGAAATAAAGCATTTTAATTTCTAGAATCAGACATATTTGCAGTAGTTCTTTTCCTATCATATCATTCTATCAATCAGCTCTACAATATAAAACTAACTTATAAATTAATCCATCCATCATCACTCCATGACCCTACAAATATGAACAGATAAACCCGTAAACTCATCTTCCAATATATCAAAATCTATAATTCTCCATCCACATAAATCTTGAATTTTGTTAAATGACCACATCACCTAAACAGTGGGTAAACTGATAAAATGGTTGTCATCCTGATATATAATTTATATTTAACCACTTCAAAACACTCCCTTACGAGCTTCGGAAGCATAGTATTCTCTTCCGGATACAATACACGTTATGAAAACAAAGAAGCACGATGGCAGAGTAATAAAATTACATTTCTTTAAAAGAGAAGTGATTATTTAACACATTCAGCTCAGCATAAAAATAAATTAATAAATAGAAACTAGTTCATCAATATGTGAGGAAAAAGGAACAAAGTCTAGGGCAGCAAAATATGAGATTCTCCACAAAATTCACAGAAATTGATCAGATTAAATCCTAACAGCAAGAAGGCAACAAAACAAATAAATGAATACTTAAGCAGAGTGACATACCCCACTGGCAATGACGACGCCAGTGACGACCGGAATCAATGTGATGTAAGTCAGCCAGGCCTCCCTCTTGAGCGTCATCAAGTAGGCAAAAACAGCCGTGAAGAACGGCGTGGTGGCGCCGATGGCCTGATTGAAGCTAACGGGCAAATACTTGAGCGAAATGTTGCCGCTGACGACCGAGGCGCAGAAAATCATGCTGAGAGCGGTAATCTTCATGAACTGAACCCTAGATCTTATCGTCTGCATCGGAACCATCTTCATCCAGGCGATGGCGATGTAGCTGAGCAAGGAGCAGGCCGTCATGTGGCACATGGTGAGGAAAATCGGGTATTTGAATCCGTAATTGCTCAGCAAATACTTGTTGAGCAGAAGAACCCCAATGTTGGATGAATACCACGCCGTCACCAGCCCGATCGTGAACATCCGTCCCGAAGACGAAGACGAAGGCTTGGCCGCGGACATCCTTGCTTCCTTCCTTCCTTCCTTCCTTTCACTCGAATCAATTATATTCACCAACGACAACAAAAATAAAAATTCACGTGGGAAATTATACTATCAGGGTGTATAAATTAGAAAATGAAATCGCCGAAGAGGAGGGAGGGATTAAATTATCCAATCCATGGATGAAAAATTTAGGGATTAGAGAGGCAGAAGGGATCTGAGGAGACGAATTTAGTCATGGAATCCCAGATCAGATCAGATCACATATTGGAGAAAGAAATCCAAATTCGGTGAGAGAGAGGGGCATCGATTAGCATTAGCATGGAAAGGGTGAGGATAGAATGTGCGTGGGGGTGGGGTGGGGTGGGGTAGGAGGTGGAAGAGAGCGTCGTTGCCGTATTTGAGGAGGAAGAGCCGAGAGAAAGAAAATTCGTTTGCAGGCAGGCAGAATGCAAATCGTGTTGGGTTGGGGCCGGAAAAACTCTCTCTCTCTCCCCCTACTATTATTATTATTATTATTATTATTATTATATTCAATTAAATTTTTTTTTAAAATAGGACTAGTAATATTAAAACTAAACAATAATTCTTTTGTTTATTTTCTAAGCAAAGGCTTTTTTTTTTTTTTTTTTTTCTTTTTTTTGGCTAAATCCTCGACAAGTGAATTTGGAAAAGTCGCAGTTTGAATCTATAACAGTCATAAGTTCACTTCTCACACCCCGTCATTTTTTACTGGACAAGACTTTCTTCATCCTATTTATTCTGGTAATACAATATAAAAACTTAATAATATAATGCAAACTATTATTTTTTTTATTAATTAACAATTTTTAATATTTAATATAAAAAATATATTAATAACATAAATGATTTGTTGTTCTATGCGGAACATAATTTGAAGAGCACACATTTTTTTCATATGTTTAATAAAAAATATACTAAAATACTCCTGTTTGTTTCGTGGTTTGATTTGAAAAAAATATTTTTATGTGAAAATAGAAAATTAATTGTACAATAATATAAAAATAATAAGTATGTATAGTATATTATTTTTTTTATTTTTTAAGGAAATATTTTGAAAATTGTTTGAAAAAGAAACAAATCCTACATTTGTCTCATAATAGTTGATATTAGTGGCATGAAATCTTAAAATAATAGTTTAGTAAATTAATAACGGTAAGTTATAATATTATGTTATTATTTTTTTAATATAATTGATGATTTTGATATTTTTAAAATAAAAATTTATATATATAATTAAAAATTAAAATATATATTTAAATATTTTAATCACTATTATTTCAATAAAATATATAAAATATGTATATTGTTTTGTAAAAAATAGATTTTTAATCATATAATTATATAGAAATATTTTTATTTATTTATAATTGATATAAATTAATTTTATTAAAAAAATAAAGATTTTTAATTATTGATAAGGATATTTATTTATTGTGGATAGATTAAAAAAAAAAAAAAGAAAGAAAAAAAAAAAAGAACAAGTCATAGTTATATTGTAACCGAGAAGGAAGAAACAAATATCGTTCGAATCGCCTAGGGAGATGATAGATCAAATTCAGTCAAGATTGGGGGAAAGAGTGGGATTTAATTTATATCTAAAATTGGATTGGGTTTGGGTTGGTTCCGGTTTTTGGTCGGAGTGAAACAACAACTCAACAATCTTCTTTTGTTTCTGATGGACCATCATAGTTATATTCAAGGGCATAAACAAAAGTGAGGAACATGTTAGCATCATCGCCCTTTATACGTGTAATTTACCATATAGTTATTGCACACAAAACATATAAAAAATAAAAAGTAAACATATATGCAGACACGATAAACAACACTAAGTTGCAGCATATCAGTAAACAACACCAAGTTGTAATACATCTGTTTATTTCCAAAGTTAACACAACCAAATAATCAAACTTTAGATATAACATAATCAATATCAACAGAAGCATGTGATATAAAGTTACAAATCAAAAACAAATTTTTCAAAGGTAATATAAGGTAATCACGCAATTTCCTACACAGAATCAGTAGTAGCAAAACTATTTTTTACCATAAACATATTACCCACTACCTAATTCTCTATAGTCATATTCGCTTCATCACATTGTTAGTTTCTAAAATTTTTTTTAGGATGTGGACACTAATTAATAACATGATTTGAATTCTCACAATTATAGCACTTTGTATTCTTTTTCTTAGATTTATTTTTTCTTTTACTCTTATTCTTTTGATTTTTGAATATTTTTAAATTATGTGACATACTTTTAACTAACAGAACTTCATCAACCGTTTGTTTTTCCTTTTCATTAATCTACCATTCTAATTCTTTACTCTTTAATCTATCAATGACTGCTTAAAGAATTATTTAATATCTTGAACAAGTTTAATAAAAAGTTTATGATTTTCATCTATTGATTTAGTTAAATCAAGTTTAAATATAAAGAATTTTTCAAGTAGAAATAGTGTATTTGGTCTGAATGTTTCCATATAGATTTCTTCTAATTATTCTCAAAGTTCTTTTGCATAGTTATGCTTTCCTACTTTTTTAATAGTTGAGTTAGATAAATTCAATATTATCAATGATATGCGTGTGAATCTAATTCAATTTTTCTATTTTCAGTTAATCAGCAATTAAAATCACCATCAATAGTTTTAACAATATTTTTTTGTTATTAGATTACTTTTCATCTTTTGTTGTCGAATTGAAATTCAATTTTTCCATCAAAATTTACAATAGATACAATTGTTATACCAAGATCACACAAAAGTCACACAATTTGCCCCACAAGAATGTTACACAAATTTACTAACTATCAGTAGTCAGCTACTTGCTCGTTTTTTGAGCAGCCAGTTTACGTGATAGTAATATCAGCCAATTGAAACTCAATATTGATATAATTTAATAATAACTTACTCTATAAATAATTAACAGAAAAAATAAAATAAAGTAACCTTTCGCTATCAAATTTAGGGCTAAATTAATATTCTAATTTTAAACCAGTGCACAACCCACATGTGCTATGATATCAATGTTGGGGATTCTTTGCATCGCCACAGATTATTCGTGCAACTAAATAATCCTCACAAAGAATATTACTTGGTTAGTGAAATCAGAATAATAATAATTAGAAAGGAATTTAGAAACAATGCTATAATAGAAAGAAACATTTGTTGGCTTATATCACAGTCCACTTCATGGTAACTCCAAATCTTCCTATGAGGCAATAAGAGGGAGAAATCGAATGGGTTTCGACAACACGCCATCCAAATCACATAGTAATCCCACGAAGGAACAAAAGAATAATGAAAAAAAAAAAAAAAACAGAAAAGATTGAGAAATGAGAAAGAAGATATGCAAGATGCGACCTTTTTATGTATATATATTATTTATATTATCATAATTTATTCTATCCGTTCGTTAAATTTATATAATTTGCAGGGCCGTCTCGGATATTTTCAAGGCCCTAAGCAAAAAATAAATAATAGACCTTATAAACAAATGACTTTTTTTTTTTTTTTTTTTGTTGGCGTGGAGTAAATTGTCTGGCTTAGTTTGCTATTACATATTTTGATTATATAAAATTTCACAATATCTTGACTATTAAAATTAATAACTCAATACTAATAATTATACATTCTAAAGGAGAAAAATATAGGATTAATTTTTAAAAAAATTGTTAGAATTTATTAGAATTATAATTGGATTTGAGATTAATTTTAGAAAAATTGTTAGAATATAAGATAATGGAATTGCAGAGAAATAAGTAAATAATAGAATTGGAGAAAAGGAGAATTGAGTAAATAATGAGATTTAATTTTCTTGTTTCGCTTAAACAAATAATTGAGTTGAGAAATGTAAAAAAAAAAAAATACAGTTATCTGAATAGATCGAACAATAATAAATAATTAATTTGACAAAAGAATGTTTTAACGAGTGAGAATTTAGGAAAAAAATATTTTTTGTAAGTTTTTTTTTAAAAAAACTATAAATTATATATGATGTTTTGTAAGATCATATTTTAGTACAATATTTTTAAAAAAATTGTAAAAGTTAAATATTTGATAAATTAAATGTGATTTTGTAAAATTAAAATAATATATTTTTAAAAAGTATAAAAATTAAATATTACAAAAAAGATAAATATATATATTTAGTGCAACATCATTTCTGTCTATTTCCCAGTATATGGAATATAAATAAAAAAGAGAAATATAAGTGATTTATTTTTCAAGTTCCATCGACTCAAACAAAAAAGAGAAATATAAATGATTTATTTTTCAAGTTCCATCGACTTAGACAAAAAAAGAGAAATGAAAACATTTTTTCTCTCTCTATTGTCAATTCTGTGCAACAAGACAAGTTTATTAAATTAGAATTGGATTGGATAATTATAGAAAAATATGAGATAAAATTTAAATTAAATTTTAATATATCTAATAATAATAATGGGCAATGAAGATATAATTAATTTTAGATAATTTTTGTTAGAATTTAATTTTATAATGAAAATTAGATTGTGTATTTTTGAGAAAAATATGGATAAAATCTACATTAAATTGTAACATATCTAATAATAGTAAGATAAAATTAAAAAAATAATGGTCCTTTTAAGCAGAGGCCGTAAGCAATTGCTCAAGTTACGCTCCTACTAAGAGCAGACTCTCTAATTATTTGTTTGATCAATATATAGTAAATAATTTTATTTACCTATAATCTTATTATTTTTTACTTTAACAAATAATAATCAATTTGTTACTATTTTTAATTTACTCTCCTATTTTTATCCATTCTTTAATAATTTTTTTATTTTTTATTTTTATAATACCTATTTTGGTTTTTATTTATTCCACCTTAATATTATTATATTATTATTTTTTAGTGTCGGAGTTTGGTTAATATTTTTTAGTGTCAGAGTTTGGTTCTTTAGTGTCGGTGTTCAACCAACTCATAATTTATACTTTTTCCCTCCATTATACATTTACTTTTGGCGCGGTATTTAAGAAATAATAGTATTTTAATTATAATGAGTAGTTAAAAGTAGTGTAATGACATTTTGCCTTTACTTTTTTTGTGTAAAAGTAATGATGTGATCTAAAGTAAGAGTATTTGTTGAAAAAAATATGGTATTTAATAAAATGTTACATTTGTAATTGGACGTCCCAAAATAGAAATATGTAAACATTGTAAGTGGACGGAAACAGTATAAGTTTATTAAGAGAAAATGAAGAATAAGAGAATTAAATAAATTAATATTTTTAAAAAATAAATTATTATTATTACTAGAAATTAAAAAAAAATATTATCAATCCATAATATTAATCTAACTATGGGATAAAGACTAAGGGGAATGTATTCCATTAGGATTTTAATGGATTTGTTTGGATTTTAAAAAGTCCGTAAACTTGAGTAGATTTATAAATTCTATAGAATTTATGC